CTAAATTAAGTCTAGGTTCTCTGTCCCAATTAATGAAGTCTAACTTGTCATCTTCTAGTGAGTTAGTGTAGCTATACACTGAAAGCATCATGATTAAGAATCATTTTCAAATAATCACACGTCACAAAAAAGAGATGGGAACCAATGAGTCAAACTTCTAAAATTTGCCCCTTTGCTGCATTTTTTATCAAGTTTTCAGGAAAATGTTTGCTTTGCAAGTAATATGAAAACAATTTTTAACAGATAAAAATGTCACTAAATGAGGAAAAACAAGAAATATGCATTTCCAGCACACATCCATACACAAAAACTGAATGTAAACTCCATGACGGCAGAGGTTGTTTGTGGGTGGGGTTGTGTTTTCTTTTGGAATCTGTTTCGTACACCGTTAAATCTCTAGAGCCTAGAATAGTGTCTGTACTTGGTGGTAAGTACTCAAAATTTTGAATAAATTATTTTCACTAAGGAAGCTTTTTAAATTGTTTGTTTTTGATGTTCAAGTAAGATTATAAAGGCTGTAAGGAATATATTTTCTTGCTCAATTATAATTTTGACTTATTAAGTAGCATGTTATTAATCAAGTTCTCAGGTTTCAAAGTTTGTGGCAGGAGCAAGCACAAAATGGCCCATGGCCTATTTTCATAGGCTCTCAAGCCAAGAACATTTTTTGTATTTTAAAAGAACTGTGAAAGACCAACAAGAGTATGTGAAAGAGACCTTAAGTGGCTAACAAAACCTAAAACACTTACTATCTGGTCCTCTACAGAAACAGATTATTGCCCCCGTGAATGGAGATTCCATTCATGAGAGAAAAAAAGTTTTGCACACTTCCTTTCACCTATGAATTGAATCTGCACTATTAGAAACGGATTTTTCACCTAAGACCTTCTCCATAACTAAATTTCTGAATTTTGGCTTGTTATTTGATTTGAAGAATGTTAAGAAAAAAAATTTAACTATAGCATAAGTGGTTACGAATGCTGAAGCTAATAAAAAGGGAAGATTAAAGTTAATTTATGGTTAATGCTTTCCATACTAAAGAAATAACAAAAATGGATGAAGAAAAAAAAAAAAAGGAACACAAACAGGAAAAAAAAAGTGAATCTAATTATATTTCAAACAAACAGCAGAACTATATTAAAGGGAAAAAACTAACCGAGCCATCTTTGAACACAGCATTTTGACTATATACCATCAGGTTAAACAAAAAATGAGCTATAAACAAATATTAAATTCTAGTTAATCGGTTTGTTTTCAGAGACATATGGTTTAGCAATACTGAAACTACTTTGTGTGTTTCAGGTTTGAACGAATAACATGTAAATACATTGTGGATAACAGAAACTAGTTTTCTCACTATCAGAGAAAGGAATTACATACAGAATTGGAAAAGGGAAAGGCTAGAATGAACCCATGGCTTTTTAGATAGGCAGACAATTAAAAAACAAAAATTTATGCTTATATATATGTAGATATACATACATACATAAATATATATACATGTGTATATATATATATTCTAGTTCGATCCATTAATAAGTATCCACAAGAAGAAACCAGATCAGAGGCCCTTGGAGAAATGACTGACTCCAAGGCTAGGGTGGTAATATCTTACTACATAAGAAGCTAAATACTCAAAAGATAAGGAGCACACATCAAAAGGACACAAGAGACAGCCTGAAGTAGCTCTGACTGGTCAAAACTGAGACAATTTACATCAAAACCCCCCAATGAATAAAAAAGAATCCATGAGTTCATACTGATATGCATATATACATACATACATAAATGGGGAGAAGGAAAAACTCTTATAGAATGCCAATAATAAAGAAATGACAAAGAACATTCACCTTTTGGCAATCATCCTACTACTGATTCAGGCAAGAACTAAATGGGTGGCTTAAATGGGTGAAAGTTTGACCAGCAACAAGGTATGTGCTTAGTTTCAAAATACCTCCCCAAATGATACTTGTTACAAAGGGAAGAAACAGTAACTTTACAATGGAGAAACCTTGCAAAAAAAAGTTAACATCCCTATTAGTGGGATAAACAGACATCATGTGCTTCCTGAGAACATAGTATCACTTTCTGGAGTATTCCTGCCAAAAGCACATAACCTGAATCTAATCATGAAGCAACAGCAGACATATCCATATTGAAAGACTTGCAAAAATAACTGGCCTATTATCACTAAACATCAAAGGTCATAAAAAGTAAAGAAAGAGTTATAACCAACTATTTCAGATTAAAGGATACTAAAGAGACAAGATGAATGAATGCAAGATGTGGTATGGGATTTACTCTTCCTATTAAGGACATTAATGATACAATCAATGAAATCTGAATAAGATCTGCAGACAATTGCATTATACCAATGTTAATTTCCTGATTTTGATCACTGTACTATGGCTATGTAAAAGAATATCACTGTAGAAAATAGTCATTTAAAAGTAAAAGTAAAAGGCATCATGAACTGCATTTCCCATCATAATGCCATAAAAAAAGTTTGCATGTGTTCATATTTATGTGGAGAGTGAACAAAAAAGCAAAAATGGTTAATTAACATAATTAGGTAAAGAAATCAGGATGAGGTGTACATAAAATTCTTTATCATTCTTGTAACTCTCTATAAATCTCAAGTTTTAAAGTTCAAAAGTGTGAAAAAATAAAGCTAATTTATAATTAGACACTATGCCAGTAAAAAGGAATTGTGGAAAACTAAGTGATAGTTCTCCTTTACACAGAAGGGTAAGAAAAACGACCAGAGGTTGAGACCTGGGGTCCTTCTCAGCTCTAATACTTAAAAGTAGCATTTTATTGGTAAAATCACAACGGTGGCCCGTTTTCTAGTCAGTAAAAGGAGGATAGCACCTATCCTACTTTTCTCACAAGCTTATCCTAAAATTCCACTGAAACATGATGGTTGGGGAAAAGAGGGTCAGAATACAAAACACTGTGTTATAAAGTGGCTCACTTTTAAGTGTCTGGTAAACAAAAAGTATTTCAGAAATACCTAAGCCAGACATTTTTCATCACAGAAAGCTACTACAGAAAGTAGACATCCACTGTATGTTTTGGTTTGTAAAAATTTTAACTTATTCAACATTCTTTTTACCCATATACTTCAAATATTTTAATAAATTCAAATACCCCTATTTTTTTTACCATAAAATTTTATAGTGTAAGAATCTTACTAAATTTTAAAAAGCCATTAGCTAGGGCTTGGTCAACTTATTTTTTTAATTAAAGTATAACTGAGAGAACACTGTATCAGTTTCAGGTATACCAGTAAACCTTTCAGGTGCTGTCACCAGTATAAAAAAGATCTTTAAACCATTCCCCAAGTTCTACACACTAAGACATAAGAAACATGATCCAAGAGTTTCATCTTTCACTCACGAGCTACTCAAATTAGCCCTGAGGAGTCCAATCAAATTTAAAAAGTGTTTATAAGAAAGAGACCAAATTTTATCATGTACTTAATCAAAAGTTCATTTTAAAAACAGTTATATTCTTTCAAATTCCTAAAGGTTTGGTCACCACTTAAGCTTTTTTTAAAAAATCATTTGCACCTGGAGACTAATTAATATCTCATTGACAAAAAGAAACATTCTTAAAGCTGTTATCTTTTAACAACGGTTATATTCCAAAACAGAGATTTTTTTAAAAATACATGACAAAAAAATTGGTGTAAAATAAAACTTAATGTAGCTCATCTTATTTTGCCGTTGTTGAAAACATGTTTAAATAAGTCTACTTGCTCAATCTCTATTTTGGATAGCAGACGAGCTTTCTAGACTCTAAGGCAAAATGGTGAGAGAAGAGCAAGCAGAACTGCGCCTGCAGAGAAGGGCTGCAACCAGCCCAACCCCAGCAAAACCCCCAGTCAGCGATGCCTGCACAGCCTCACTAGCTCCACAGCAGGGTCACTCACTGCACACAAGGCTGATGAAGTGAAAGAAAAAAAAAAAGATTACAAGAACATTAGCTCCAAGAGGGTATGCTTCCTGTTTGTCTTGTTTACCAATGTATACCAGCAGAAAGAAAAATGCCTGGTACACGGTAAGCACTTCAGCACTGGTTAAATGAATGAAAGAATGAAATGCTAGGTCTTTCAAATCAACCTATATAAATTATAATAAGTTGCAGAAGTATTCTAAAAACAAATTTGGAATACAGTAACTTACTAGCCATAATTATCTTTAAAAAACATTAACATCCTATATTCCCCATACTGACTAACTGTAGTGATGTCAAAGTTACTAAGATACTTCCTGACCTACAGCAGATACCAGAATGCATTTACATATCCTTCCCTGAGTTTCAAATATGGTGTATCAGAAATGCTTGTAAAGCAGAATTAGAAGACCAAATAAATGCATAAAATTAAAATCAAAGCACAAATGCATCGTTTACCATCAAACTTGAGATAGCATTAACTCAGATAAGAAATTACAGGCTACAGAAACATTTCTCATCAGCATTTATTTCTCATAATAGTAGCACTACCAAAATCTGCTCCTCTATAATTAGAAAACCAAAAATTTGATTGTCTTTTTTTCTATCTCCATCCCTACAGCATATCTGTCAATGATCTGTCATCTTATAGTTTGAAGAACTTCCTCAAAATATAAGATGGATTTTATTCCCAATCATCAAATTAATAAGCTTGCAATTTATTCATGTTAAATAAGTAATACTATATTCCTTTTACAATACAGTAAAATTATGTGGAGCAGAATGCAAGTAAATGCAACAAGAGTATATATGATTTATGTTCACTATTAAGCACAATAACTTTTTTTTTCAGTTAACCTATTATTTGTGAAGAAATTCAACTATTCCCTACATGTTCTCTTAAAGATTACTAATTCATTTGAAGTGACAAACTTTATTCTGCTTCCCAATTACTACCCATATAATCAAGACATCATTTCACTACCAATTTAAACCTAATATTTTCCAAAGGGCCTGCCTTATGTGCGTTATAATCATCTTACTATGCTTCTTGTGTCCATGCTGCTGGAAAAGCAGTCTGTACAAGCAGGAGTAGAGGCACAATCCTGAGAGAGAGGAGTAGAGAAAGATGTTGAGAAAACAAAACCAGATAAAACGAGCTCACTCGAGTTCAGGAGCTCAGCCAGTGTTCAAGGTCAAGGTTGATTACATTCTCTCATACCATTTTGAGTTAGAAGTTGTCCAATAACAGGAAAACTGGCCCTAGAAAGAGATATCTGAAATTCCATGTACAAATAGTAATATCACTTATTCTAAGCCAACTATACTTCTAAAAAAAAGCAGCAAGTGATCATAAAATATGACTATTTAGGAAACTGGGGAATACAGATGTCCCCTAAATGTCAATCAAAATTACTATAACAAACTCAATGCTAGCCTACAATAAAATGATAGAGCTATTGCAGTCTTGCCAAAAATTTTTTATATTTATCTTGAATGATTAAGACTGTAACACTCTCAAAGCAGTCTCAAAAAATCATTATCATCGATCTCAATTATCCTTGTTTTCTAAATTTTTAAAATAATAAGGAAAAAACCCCACAACTTTTACCATATGTTGTTTTAAATTGAAAAACACCAAAGAAAAAAAAAGTTTGAAAATAGCATAATTACAGAACGAAGCTTAGGATGGATTTAATCTAACTGGAACCTTCAAATGCAATAGCTCCCTCCCAACGCTCCCTCCTTAATAAGTGAAAATTACAAAAAGATCAGAGTTCTGATTTAAAATTTTCCACCTCATCTCCTAGACTCCCACAGTGCCATAAAATGACCTTCAAAAAAAAAAATCCTTATATGTACTAAGTCCTCCCCAAAATTAATTTTATATTTAATCAAAGAATCCTCTAACAGGGAACCTAAATATAAACTCAATCATCTACTTTACACAGAGGAAACCAAATGTCCAGAAATGTTAACTACCTTGGTCCAAGTCATTCAATCCCAAGTACATCATTCATTCATTCATTCAAGAAATCTTTGACACACAGTATGTATTTAAGGTACTGAGCTATGTACTGAGGATATGAAGCAATGAAAATATATGGTCACTATCCTCATGAACCTTACAGTCTGGTGGGAAAGATTTATTACTATGTTATTTCCAGTAATCACTAGAAGGGAAAGTACAATTTTTTTAAGACCGTGTAACGGGAACTAAATCAGTGATTCTCAACCAAGGTCTATTTTGTTCCCCAAGGGACATCTGATAATGTCTGGAGACATTTCTGGTTGTCACAATAGTGGCACCTGTGGGTAGAGGCCAGGATTACTGCTAAACATCATATAATGCACAGGACAGCTCCTCACAGCAAACAATTATCCACACCAAAATATCAATAGTACTGAGGTTGAGAAATTCTCATCTAAACCGCTGGGGCACGGAGGGACTAGTGAAGGGTTCCTTCCTTTACAACACTAAGTATGCTGTATCTTTAAGGGAGTTTCACAAGGTAGAAACAAAAAAAGATGGTTTGATTGATCCAATTAGCCAGAACACCCACTGGAAAGTTAAAATAGGAAAGACTAAGGAAAGGAAAAGGAGAGAGATTCCCTGATAGGTGAAAATGAAACAAAAAAATGCAAAGTTTTATAGCTGCTTCACATAAAATCCCTTTCTTGGACCACAGACAAAAGGAAAACATACAAATAAAAAACAGATTTCACAGGCTTTTATTATTCCCTCTACCTTTTCCACTGTGCACCATCCCATGTCTACTACTAGATACTGCTGGGAAAAGTATATAAAGTCCTGTAGTTAGACAAATGTACACTCTGGAAACAAAAGTGGAAATGGAGTAAAGCAGAGATGGGATTTCACTTTTGATGTGAAAGACAAGGCATGGAAGAGGAAAATGTCCTGGATGTTAAGGGGACTCTGGAAAGTCTGCATCCTGGAATAGTTTAAAGAGTAAGCTATCTGACTAACTGAAGAGTCCTAAAGACAAAAAACCCTAAGAATTTAGGCATCCTAAAGATGATAAAAGGTACTAGAATCATCTCAGAATTTATGAACCAAGGTAAATCCAAAATTTAAATTGGAATAATTTTCCTGACACATCTCGCACCTACATATCTGGGCCTTTAGCTAACCACTCAGCCTTTTCTGAGCAGCAAGAGAAATGGATCATGATGGAAAAAACAACCATAGTAATGCTACAAGCTATACAAAGAACTTAGGGGGGAAAAAAAACCTGATCACTAATATTTGATTATCTGAAAGTGTTAACTTGTTGAAGTATAGTAATGGTACTGACACTTTTTTTTTAAGTCCTTAAAAATTAAAAGAATCCAATATACAAGTAAAAGTCATCTCCTCCAGTTACTTTGCCTAAGCATAACCAATGCATAACAGATTCTTCTATTTGCCATGTATTAAGAGTTCCTATATTATCCAAGTGCCCTCTCCAATTAAGTTATAGTTTTCTAAGGAAAGAGTCACGCATTGCTATTCTCTTCCTTCTTTCCAAAAACAGAAACAATAACCTTACCATAATGACCACCATACAGTGGCATTCTTAAGGACAAAGTACAGATATGCATCTCACATAAAACTGCTGCCTTCGAGTAATCAACCAACTGTGGTCCTAAAAACGGAATTTAAGCAGACCAATGAGACCCTTTTCACTGAAGTGAGAACTCTAAACCTTCATAACAAGGATATGCCACAATCTTAGAGCAGCTACAACTATGGCACTTGTAATGATAATTCTTTCAAAGTTAACTGCTCAGGTCAAGCATAGACTCTTAGGGAGTCTTATATACCAATCTGAACAAACTTTCTTTCATCATTTCAGAACTGACATTACTATTCATGGGATTAACTCATCACAATGATAATGCTTAACTGTAAATTATGGCTTTCTCACAAAACTAGCACAGTGGGCACTTAAGTATCAATTTTCAGGCTTCAATCTCATTGACCCCATGCTAAGAGGAATTTACCTCATAAAGGATCTTCTGACAGTGACTCTGAACACAGGGAAGGAGAGGCCACAGACCCATTTGAGAGATTATGATTCTTGGGAGTGGGGGCAGTTGCATATGTTGACCATGACTCATAAATACCCTATGTAAGGTCATGGATTTTCAGACTGAAACTCATCTGGGCTTTGCAAATTAAAAATCTATATTCTTAACTTGGGGTGCATGGCTGGCTCAACTGGTAGAGCATGCAACTCCCGATCTCAGGGTTTTGAGTTTGAGGCCCATGTTGGGTATAAAGATAACTTAAAAATAAAATCTTAAAAAAAACAACAACCTTAACTTTAGTATCTCTGGCATGTTCTTATTTTCAAGCCAATGCTAGAAGGGGGAGGGGGGGATTGTCTTTAAAAAATCTGAGAATTAGCAAGCATTTCATATTTTAAATAGGCCTTTAAAAGCCAAATTCACTCTACTATAACTCAAAATTCCTTTATTTTTGCACTTTGCAATATGTGATTTAATGGAAAATATTCATTACCGAATTATTCTCTATTATATGCTTACTTGCAACGTTTTTACATCAGCAAGCATTAGACATTCACAGAAACTATATTCAAAATCAGAAAAAAAATTATGTATTTTGTGTTTAAAATAAAAAGGATATTCTTCTGAATCTTCTTTGAAAATAATTTCTTTCCCCAACTCTGTGACTGTATTGTTACTATTATCAAGCTAACTCCACATTCAAACATGGTTAAGTTTGAGCATGTTAGTAAATAAAGGAGTTAAAAGATTTTCTAAGTTCTTTCAAATCCACAGGGAGAAAGAAGAGAGTGCTACATACACTAAAATGGGACTGCTACTGCCAATCTCAAATTCCTGTAAAGGTTAGATGAGAAAAAAGGTCAAATATCTAGCTAGCCATGTAAATGTTAGGCTCCCTATCCTTAAGGGAAATACTAAAACGAAAACCAATTTATCATTTTATTCCACTGTGCTCTATTGTGACTACCACAGTGTAGTAACACCTTTTTTCTATCCACTACATGAGAGATCCTATTCAGAATTTCGTGGGAGGAAGAGGTGCTGGGAGTGAGGGAGGATACATATTAGGAACCCCCTAGACAAACAGGAGAGACAATCAAAAAGGTGTGGGCTAGGAGCACCTCACTGGCTCAGTGGGAAGAGCGTGCAACTCTTGATCTCCAAGTCATGAGTTCCAGGCTCACCGCAGATGCAGACATTACTAAAAAAAAAATAAACTTTAAAAAAATGGGGGGGGGGATAAAATCAAATAACTGCAATGGAAATAAGAGAAAGGATTTTTTTTTATAGTTTTTAAAAAGTTTAACATTCTATAGTGATGTATGTAGCACACAAAAAGGCTACACAGAGCTGTTTTCTTTCCTGCACAGTTGTGCAACTATTAACAAGAAGTTGGAACATATAGTACCGTTAAATACGTTTTCTTCTAGAATTTACGTGCTATAAAGTATTGCTGGGAGAACCAAATTTCCTAATTATCAGCTATAAATTCCTAAATAAAAATGAAAAAAAGATTCTCAAATCTATTGCACTATATATCAAGAAGTGGTTAAAAAAAAGTGTTTGCTTTCATTTAACTGTGTCACTACTATGTACTCTAATATGGAGAGTCCAACTCAAATGAATGTTATCTAACTTTCAGCCCTTTGCTAAGCTTCCCAAATGCTAATTCTTAAAAGAAGCGAAAGAAAAAATAAAAGAAACAAAATTGTGAAACAGCTTTTGAAAGTATTGTCCTGCTGGGATTATCATAGCAATATGTCTGGTATTTTAAGAGGTGAATATTTAAGATTTTGTTAATCATACTATCGAATAGACTATTAGCACTTCACACCAAAAGTTCATAAAATTTATGCGATTTTAGTTAATATCACATTAAAAATTTTCTTCCAAGGCATACAGGTAAGATTAATTCCGGTTGTGTAGATAGGTACTTGTTATGTTTAATGTTTGCACTAGGGTCTACTTAAATCGGAGTTTTAAAAAAATTAACATACTTTATCGAAACCTATCTCCTTTCAGACTAGTAAATTCAATTAGATAGTGAAAACTGGACACCTGCTTCTTTTCTAGTGTTAGATTTTACGTGTGAATGAGCCCGTGGGAAATGCTTCCCCAGCATTTTCCCCTCTCGAGGCACAGACCTCTCTCCCTAACCATTTGTCTTTTTTGTCCTGATGATGGGAGAAGGGGGAAGTAAGGTATGATAAATCGGAGAAAACCTTGCCTCCGGATCAGCCATTCTCTTAGCGTTAAGTCCCTAGTTGGCACGTTACCTAGCCAACAGTGTCTCAAATATAAACAGTACGTAAAACGTGACCACAGAAATCACCCCTGCAGGTTCCCTTCCTGTACAACCCCCACCGGTCCCTGCCTCATTAAGGACCAAAGGGAGGTCTGGGCAGTGATGTCCGGCGAGCAGTTAAAATCCCGCAGGCCCAAGAAAGGGGTGGGCGGGCCAGGCCTCGGCGGAACTGACCCCGAGAGACCTGCCAGGAGCCTCCGGGGGAGGGCCCTAAGGGGCCTTCCCTCCAAACCCTCAGCCACTCAATAGGGCGCTGGAGACACCGGAACCTCCCTCCGCCCCGGGGCGGCCCTCCCCCAGCCCTCCCCTCGGACTCGGAGGAGGGGCGCGGGGCAGAGAAACACCCCTCCCCCCCTCGACACAGCTAGGCCGCCACTCGCCCCACCCTGGGAAACCCTGCAGGCCCGCACCCACCCTGCTCCCGCGGGCCTAGTCCCGGTGGGAGGTGTGGGCAGGAGGGGAGGCTAGACTGCAATACCAACCTCGCTATTGAAGGTTTTCACAGCCTCCATGTTGTCGGTGCGGAGGCCCCGAGCCCGGCGGCGGAAGAGGCGGCGGCCACTGCGCTGGGTGGGGAGAGCGAGACGGGGGCGGCGGCGCGGCCGCGAGGAGGGGCGCCGGCGGGAGACCCGGCTGCTGCGACCCCGGGACGGGAGTGGAAGGGCAAGCACTGGCAGGGAAGGACTCCCTCAGGGGCAGCGAGGCCCCGGCATGGCCGCTAGGGCGGGCGGAGCGCCGGTCTGGCGAACACAGGCGCTGCCGGGGCGGGTCGGCAGCGGGCGGGGGAGGGGCTGGGCCGCGGCGCCTTCTCTTCTCCGCCCCGCTCGGTCTCGGTCCTCCGCCCTCTAGCCCCGTCCCCTACACTCTCCACCCCCTCCTTCTTCTTCCTTCGTCAGACTCCTGTTTCACCTCCCCGCCGCTCGGGCCGCAGGAACCAGCAGCGCACAGCGAAGACGGAGGAGGAAGCGCTGGCAGCAGCGGCTGCGGCATCCAATATGGCGGACGCGAGTCGGGCCGCGCAGCTCGGAGATCCGCGGCGCCGGCCAGCGCGCCCCCTGGTGACTGGACCGCGCGGGCCCGAGCGGCCGCGCGGAAACCATCGAGCGAGCGCGGGCCAGAGCGTCGCCTCTCGGAGGTCCCGCTCCGCTCGGCCCGGGGCCGCCCGCGCCTCGCCCCCTCCCCGCGCCTTGCAGACACGGGAGCGAGCGCTGCGGCCGCGCGGAGCGCCTCGGCCCGCCCTTGGAGGCCCCTGCAAAGCGTTACTCCGAGGAATGCCTAAGTGTCCCCGGAACGCGACAAGTTTGGGAAATAATGTCCACGTTTCCGTTGTTTCCAAGTAGATTGGTCCTTTTTCGTGAGCTGTTGGGTTCAGTTGTTTTTCAGAACTTTCCTGGACAGTGGCCTAAAGGTTAACAGCCAAAAGAAAAGTTCCTAATCATTCATTTATTTAGTAACGATGTGTCCATGCATTTTAATAGCGTCGGGAGGAAATGTGAGAAACAAAAGCTTCGGATCCGGGTGGGGGCAGGGGGACGAGGGAAGCACGCACACAGCCAGCAAGCAGCTCAGAGCAGGAAATGCACGCTGCATAAAATCCAGGGGGACTGGTGCACAGACAATGAGTGCATTTGTCTGTGCCGCGGGAAGCGGGTCCCAGGCGCACAAGATTTGGATAGGTGAAAGGGAACTCATGTTTAATGGAAGATGAATTATTCTAAAGGAATTTTGCTCTAGGCCGTTTGGAGTTAAGACGGTGAATTCGAAGGCATTCGAAGATGAAGAAAGAGATGCTGCTAGCAAAATGCCTTCTCCCACTTGGTGCAAATGTAAAATAACCAATACCAAATTAAAAGCGAACATTAATTGAAATTAAAAGTTAGGGTGTACCACTGAACCCCAAACGCCGCTGTCCTCTTGCTGAAAGCCCTTTTTTTCAGCGGTCACCTCCCAAGTTCATTCAACGAGAAGGGAGGGAAATGGCAGAATTTTATGCTGGGGGACTGTTGGACCCAAGGTACTTTGGTATAAGATCTGAGCCCAAAGCCTATGAAACTGAGAAAGGCAGACACTTCTTGACTTCTTAGGGTCCAGGTCTACTTCATTAAAACAACTTTAATATAGAGGCTGACTACTTAAAAGGTAAAAAGGATAACTTCTTCGTCAGTAAGAGCTTATATTTTCACCTTCAGAATCTCAAATGTGGTCACAAAAGTTCTCCATCACCATTGGCCTCCAATCCTCATAGGCCTAGCCGTTTTGATTTCTGGTCAACAATTGCTGTAGCCTTCTAACGGTTCTCCTGCTTGTCTTCCTAGGATTCATTCTCCAGACTAGCCAGAGGGACTTTTTGTTGTTGTTATTAAGACACAAGTCAGATGAGGTCTGACTTACATCCCTTTAGGATTTTCTCATTGCTCTTCAGATATTGTCAATAACCTCTTTCTAGGGCCTGAAGTTCCCTGCCTACCACAATCCATTCTACTCTGCTTTACTCTCTTCGTTCTGGTCACACTGGCCTCCTTTCTGTTCCTTGGCAACACAAAGCATTTTCCCACCTAGAACACTTGTATGTGCCCCTTCCCTCTGGGATGCTGATGCTTGTGTTCTTTTCATAGCTGACTCTTCATCCTGTCTTCCTCCTGCAAGAGGTCTCTTCCAATCAGTCCATCTAAAGGAGCATGCCATGACTTGCATAAGTACCCCACTCAGTACGATTCATGCCAGATTCTAAAGCTCAACATTCACTGCTTTGGCCTGTCAGGGATTATTTATTCAGTCATTCATTAATGAATGTTGACCGAATTACTTAGGCCTGAGAGAGTGAAATGCAATACAAGCTAAAAAATAAAATCAGTTGTTAATATGTTACATGACTTGATTTTATAAAGCTTCCACACCCAGAAAGATAGCAGTTGGCATACTTTGATCAAGGGAAGGAAAAGAGAGGGAAGAAAGAAAAAAAAAAAGAGGACAGCCTAAGCACTCAAGATGAGAAGGAAGTAAAGCAAGAGGAAAAGTAGAGAAAGATCAGAGGGGCTACAGGAAGTCTGGAGGCCCAGTGCAATGACTAAGTACAAAGTTTATGAACAACCACACATACCACAATGTGAAAATGTCAATACCCATATCTATAGTATATGTATGTATGTGTATTAGTTAGGATTCCAATTCCCAATATACCAACCAATTCAAGCTAGCTTAAGCATACAAGAATTCATTATTATTATTAGGATGTGGGTAGTTTTTGTCCTGATTCCAAAGTCAGCAATGCCAATGGCCTAAAGAACCAGAATATAGAAAGCCTAAAAGGCAGCCTACTTACCTGTTTTAGTTTTCTTTCTGTTGCTTTATCCAACTCTGTTTTGCTAGTGAGATATGACTTGTGCTCCTGGTTTTATAATCCTAGATACCTAGAAGACTTGACTGAAAACTTCTCCAAATTCCTAAGGGAAGGAGAAGGAATTTGAGGGACCCAGTTTGGATTAGGTGACAATCACCAAAAAAACTGAAGATCACTAATTCATATTTTGAGGAAGAATTATATGGGAAATAGCACACAGAAGTATTCCTGTCCCTGGAAGAGATATGCCCAATTATAAATTATGAAACTCATATTTTAGAGTTTATGACATTCTCTTCTGAATGTGGTTATCATTGGCCTGTCCCCTAGGACTAAATCATTTCTGGAAATAACTCATAAGCTCTAATTCAGCCACAGGCAAAAGGTCAGAGTCAAAAACAGAGTCTGGAGCAGCACTCACTATAGAACTTCTGGGATCACGGGAATGTTCTCTATCTGTGCCACTCAATTCAGTAGAACAGGCTCTGTGTGGTTATTATGTTCTCAAAATATGGCTAGAACAACGGAGGGAATGGATTTTTATTTTTATTTCACTTTATTTGACTCAAGTTTGGACATGTGCTAGTGACGACCCAATCAGAAAGCAGAGGGCTAGCTAGAGAGGACCTACTCCCATGGATAGGGCACTTCCTAGATATGGGGAAGTAGTTGTAAGGTGATACTAACCAAAAATCAACTTGATTATTAGCTATCAAATGTAAGGATATATGTATATGAGTTTTTTTAAACTGGGGCAAAAACCTGGAGCATTGTCTAACCCAAAACTAATTCCCATCCAATGGAAAAAAAAAAAGAAAACTTGAGAATCCTTAGGAAACATTCTGGAATGGTTTAGGAAATTAGGGTATAGAGACAAATGGAATATTATACAGCCAGTAAAAAAATGATTAGACTGTGGGAAATGGTATAGTGGTTCCTCAAAAACTAAACAGAATTAACCATATGATCCAGCAATTCTACTTCTGGGTGTATGTCCAAAAGAACTGAAAGAAAGGACTTGAACAGATACTTGTACACCCATATTCATAGCAGCACTATTCACAATAACTAAAAGGTGGCAGTAGCCCAAGTATCCATTGATTGATGAATGGATAAACAAAATGTGGTATAGTCACATATAATGGAATATTACTCAACTTTAAAATGGAAGGAAATTCTGACACGTACCACAACATTCATGAACCTTGAAGACATTATGCTAAGTGAAATAAACCAGACACAAAAAGACAAATATTATATGATTCCATTACATAAGATACCTAGAATAGTCAGATTCATGGAGACAGAGAGTGGATGGTGGCTGCCGGGGGGGTAGGAATGGGGAGTTAGTGTTTAATGAGTATAGGGTTCATTTGGGGAAGATGAAAATGTCCTGGAGATGGATGGTGATGATAGTTTCACAACAATGTGAATGTTCTTAATGCCACAGAAATGTATACTTAAAAATAGTTAAAATGGTAAATTTTATGTCAGTTAAATTTAACCACAATAATTTCTTTTAATGGTTAGAATAAGACTAGAAATAATGGGAAATGCATTTGATAGACTGTTAGGTACACAGGAGTAAGATAAACTGTTAATGTATTTTAGCTCCTAAAGTATATATGCAAAAAGTGAAAAATCGTATTTGAAAAATATAGTGTGCTGGGATTGTGAGGTTGTTTTTTTTTTTTTTTTTTAAGATTTTATTTTTAAGTAATCTCTACACCCAACAACCCCAAGATTAGGAGTCACGTGCTCTACAGGCTGATCCAGGCAGGCACCCTTGTGAGATTGTTTTTTTGTTTTTTTTTTTTAAAGATTTTATTTATTTGACAGAGAGAGAGATAGCGAGAGCAGGAGCACAAGAGGGGGAGTGGGAGAGGGAGAAGCAGGCTTCCTGCTGAGCAGGGAGCCCGATGTGGGACTCGATCCCAGGACCCTGGGATCATGACCTGAGCCGAAGGCAGATGCTTAACGACTGAGCCACCCAGGCGCCCGTGAGACTGTTTTTAATAACAATTTTGCCCCTTTTCATTAATTTCAGGATTTTATATCTCATTTTTTTAAGAATTTATTTCAAGTCCCTTCTTTCATAATATCATTTATTATGCACATGCACATGCGTGAGGGGAGGGGCAGAGGGAGAGGGAGAGAGAATCTCAAGCAGACTCCACACAGAACACGGAGCCCCACGCAGGGTGGATCCCACGACCCCAAGATCATGACCTGAGCCAAAATCAAGAGTCA